TCAATGCTAAAGTGGGTAAAAATGTTATGGAGGGAGTAGTAGGTAAATTTGGGGTGCCAGGGGTAAATGTAAATTGGGAGCCTTTAATTGAGCTATGTGTAGAAAGAGATTTGGTAATAAGTAATACATATTTTATGAAAAAGAGGATAAATAAATATACAAGGTATGATGTAGCACGTAAATGAAAGTAGTTTATTTAGATTATGTATTAGTGGATAAAAGGTTGATGGGTAGGCTCCAGGATGTACATGTTTATAGAGGGGCAACTGATATATCGGATCATTATTTAGTTGTAGCTACAGTTAGAGTAAGAGGTAGATGGGAAAAGAGGAAGGTGGCAACAAGTAAGAGGGAGGTGAAAGTGTATAAACTAAGGGAGGAGGAAGTTCGGGTGAGATATAAGCGACTATTGGCAGAAAGGTGGGCTAGTGCAAAGATGAGTAGCGGGGGGGATTGAAGAGGGTTGGAATAGTTTTAAAAATGCAGTATTAGAATGTGGGGCAGAAGTTTGTGGTTATAGGAGGGTGGGGGCAGGAGGAAAGAGGAGAGATTGGTGGAATGATGAAGTAAAGGGTGTGATAAAAGAGAAAAAGGTAGCTTATGAGAGGTTTTTACATGTTAAGGAAGAAACGGAGGCAGTAATTTCATGCACTGGTCAGGGAGGTATACCATCTTTTAGGAGTGAAGAAGAGCAGAATGTAAGTGTCGGGGAGGTACGTGAGGCATTACGTAAAATGAAAGGAGGTAAAGCAGCTGGAACTGATGAGATCATGACAGAAATGTTAAAAGCAGGGGGGGGGATAAAGTGTTGGAGTGGTTGGTACTTTTGTTTAATAAATGTATGAAAGAGGGGAAGGTACCTAGGGATTGGCAGAGAGCATGTATAGTCCCTTTATATAAAGGGAAAGGGGACAAAAGAGACTGTAAAAATTATAGAGGAATAAGTTTACTGAGTATACCAGGAAAAGTGTACGGTAGGGTTATAATTGAAAGAATTAGAGGTAAGACAGAATGTAGGATTGCGGATGAGCAAGGAGGTTTCAGAGTGGGTAGGGGATGTGTAGATCAAGTGTTTACATTGAAGCATATATGCGAACAGTATTTGGATAAAGGTAGGGAAGTTTTTATTGCATTTATGGATTTAGAAAAGGCATATGATAGAGTGGATAGAGGAGCAATGTGGCAGATGTTGCAAGTATATGGAATAGGTGATAAGTTATTAAATGCTGTAAAGAGTTTTTATGAGGATAGTGAGGCTCAGGTTAGGGTGTGTAGAAGAGAGGGAGACTACTTCCCAGTAAAAGTAAGTCTTAGACAGGGATGTGTAATGTCACCATGGTTGTTTAATATATTTATAGATGGGGTTGTAAAGGAAGTAAATGCTAGGGTGTTCAGGAGAGGGGTGGGATTAAATTTTGGGGAATCAAATTCAAAATGGGAATTGACACAGTTACTTTTTGCTGATGATACTGTGCTTATGGGAGATCCTAAAGAAAAATTGCAAAGGTTAGTGGATGAGTTTGGGAATGTGTGTAAAGGTAGAAAGTTGAAAGTGAACATAGAAAAGAGTAAGGTGATGAGGGGGTCAAATGATTTAGATAAAGAAAAATTGGATATCAAATTGGGGAGGAGGAGTATGGAAGAAGTGAATGTTTTCAGATACTTGGGAGTTGACGTGTCGGCGGATGGATTTATGAAGGATGAGGTTAATCATAGAATTTATGAGGGAAAAAAGATGAGTGGTGCATTAAGGTATATGTGGAGTCAAAAAACGTTATCTATGGAGGCAAAGAAGGGAATGTATCAAAGTATAGTAGTACCAACACTCTTATATGGGTGTGAAGCTTGGGTGGTAAATGCAGCAGCGAGGAGACGGTTTTAGGCAGTGGAGATGTCCTGTTTAAGGGCAATGTGTGGTGTAAATATTATGCAGAAAATTCGGAGTGTGGAAATTAGGAAAAGGTGTGGAGTTAATAAAAGTATTAGTCAGAGAGCAGAAGAGGGGTTGTTGAGGTGGTTTGGTCATTTAGAGAGAATGGATCAAAGTAGAATGACATGGAAAGCATATAAATCTATAGGGGAAGGAAGGCGGGGTAGGGGTCGTCCTCGAAAGGGTTGGAGAGAGGGGGTAAAAAAGGTTTTGTGGGCAAGGGGCTTGGACTTCCAGCAAGCGTGCGTGAGCATATTAGATAGGAGTGAATGGAGACGAATGGTACTTGGGACCTGACGATCTGTTGGAGTGTGAGCAGGGTAATATTTAGTGAAGGGATTCAGGGAAACTGGTTATTTTCATATAGTCAGACTTGAGTCCTGGAAATGGGAAGTACAATGCCTGCACTTTAAAGGAGGGGTTTGGGATTTTGGCAGTTTGGAGGGATATGTTGTGTATCTTTATATGTGTATGCTTCTAAACTGTTATATTCTGAGCACCTCTGCAAAAACAGTGATAATGTGCGAGTGTGGTGAAAGTGTTGAATGATGATGAAAGTATTTTCTTTTTGGGGATTTTCTTTCTTTTTTGGGTCACCCTGCCTCGGTGGGAGACGGCCGACTTGTTGAAAAAAAAAAATGTATATACTACAATAGTTGTACAATAAAAAATTAAATTATAATATTTGTAAGTTACTCACAATAAGAAAACAACAAAAGTATGTAATTGGGTTACTTGAGCTATAACATAAACTGAGATGGTTACATTGGGAAATTTAACAATTATTTAAGAGTTAAAATGTTTTTACAGAATTACGGTACACTAGTAACAAAAAAGATGAAATTTATGCATTGAAGATCTATGAGTTTGGCATTAAGTGTGATATATCTTTAACATTAAACTGATACTGTGATAATACATACTAATGAGTTTGTAATATGATACCTGCAGATGGTTCAGGTTGGTTGGATAATTCACACTTTACAACAGAAACTAAAATCAAATTAAGACCTGCTACTAGTATTGTTTAGTTCATTGGACCTTAGTGTTAACATTTCTACAGTCTTATTTCTTTGGCATTAAATTGTTAACAGTGGTTTAATTTTCCATCTGTTAGATCTTGATGCTGTAAAAGAACGTCTTTCCTCTGTTAAATATAAAATTTTGGTGTTGTCTGGTAAGGGCGGTGTGGGGAAGTCCACCATCACTGCTATGATTGCTCGAGCCTTAGCACTGGATAACTCCAAGGAGGTGAGTATTAGTTCATTGTAGTAATAGCATCAGTTATGTCACTGTGTTGTAACTCTGAAAACCCTTTAACTATCAGAGATGTGAGAACAGTTACAAATTCAAATCAAAGTGGTTCTACATTATTTTTAGTATACTGCAATGTGCATCAGTGTACACAAAACAGGTCATAATATGTCATTTCCCAGGATTAAGATTGTCATTTCTTGGTGTGATATGTACTGGACTTGCCTTTCTCAATTTTTCTGAAAATTAAATATCGGATTTTTTTAGGCTTGTTTTACAAATGGAATGAGTTAACAAATGTTAATGGTTGTAGATATAATAATCTCTCATATATGAGAGCACTACCATAGCAGTGAGTACAGGAAATGTGTTGGGGCTACTAGCATTATAAGAATGGAAACGTGTAGGGGCCACCAGCATTTTAAGAAGCTAGATGCATTGTGACCACCAGCATTATATGAGGGGGAAATGTGATAGGGCCACCAGCATTTTATATAAGGAAGGAAACATGCTGGGACTACCAATAATATAAGGAGGGAGATGTATTGGGACTACCGGCACTATAGGGCAAAAGTTGCCCCACAATAATTTAGGGCCAATGTGAAACAGCAAAATTATGTCAGCTAGTGAAAGCAGTCTTTTCTAAACTTTTTCAAGGTGTTTCTAGTAGCTAGCAGTGGCAGGTAATGTGTCTATATTTACCTAAGGTGTTACCGGGGGTGTAGCGAGCCAACTCAAGCCCTGGAATGAAGCCTGCTCCTTCTTTATAATGTTGGTGGTCCCAGCACGTTTCTGTCAGTAATGGTGGTGATCCCAGCCTGTTTCTCTCCGAATAATATTTGTGGCCCCAGAACATTTTCCTCTCTTATAATGTTGGTGAGTCAGCAGGCCTCTCTCTATAATGGTGGTCCCTGCACGTTTCTGTCAATAATGGTGATAGTCCCAGCATGTTTCCCTCCCTATAATTTGTAGATGAATGGTTCAGAGAACCGACATGTTGATAAATTAGACACATGTGCAACTCTTGGGTATCTTTATTGAGGAAACGTTTCGCCACACAGTGGCTTCATCAGTCCATACAAAGGAGAATCTTGAAGAACAGGAGTAGAATGAGGTAATCAGTCCCTCAACCTTGAGTCGATGTGGTCAGTCCATCAATCTTGAATAGAATACGGCATACGTGCGGAGAAGGAGCTTATAAACCGTTGGTAGGAGAGGTGCAGCAGTCATAGGCGGTGTCACATTTGTTCAATGTGGAAGTAAGTCGTGCCCAAGAATTAGGCAAGCGAAGAATTCCCAAGTATTAAGATCCCAAGAAGTTGCAGTGTCTGACAGGTTTGTAGATGAATGGTTCTTAATACTTGGGAATTCTTCGCTTGCCTAATTCTTGGGCACGACTTACTTCCACATTGAACAAATGTGACACCGCCTATGACTGCTGCACCTCTCCTACCAACGGTTTATAAGCTCCTTCTCCGCACGTATGCCGTATTCTATTCAAGATTGATGGACTGTCCACATCGACTCAAGGTTGAGGGACTGATTACCTCATTCTACTCCTGTTCTTCAAGATTCTCCTTTGTATGGACTGATGAAGCCACTGTGTGACGAAACGTTCCCTCAATAAAGATACCCAAGAGTTGCACATGTGTCTAATTTATCAACATGTCGGTTCTCTGAACCATTCATCTACAAACCTGTCAGACACTGCAACTTCTTGGGATCTTAATACTTGGGAATTCTTCGCTTGCCTAATTCTTGGGCACTACTTACTTCCACATTGAACAAATGTGACACCGCCTATGACTGCTGCACCTCTCCTACCAACGGTTTATAAGCTCCTTCTCCGCACGTATGCCATATTCTATTCAAGATTGATGGACTGACCACATCGACTCAAGGTTGAGGGACTGATTACTTCATTCTACTCCTGTTCTTCAAGATTCTCCTTTGTATGGACTGATGAAGCCACTGTGTGGCGAAACGTTTCCTCAATAAAGATACCCAAGAGTTGCACATGTGTCTAATTTACCTCCCTATAATGTTGGTGGGCCCAGCACGTTTCCCACACTATAATGATGGTGGCAAACGTTGTGGAACCGCCAACATTATAGGGACATAAACATGCTGGGGGCCACCAACATTATAGGGGGGGGATGTGTCTGGAGCCCTGTTTTCAGAGCCTTGTTCCAGAGCTCGGGTTGGCTTGCTATGCTCCTGGTAACACCTTGTGTGGACGTAGACATTACCTACCGCTCTGCTAGCTACTAGAAACTCCTTGGACTAGTTCAGACAAGACTTCTTGCGCTAACTGACAGATTTTGTTTGATTTTGGCCCTAAATTAATACGCGGGTAACTTTTGCATTTACTGTGGCCAGAACTATTAAAAACTTTCTCTTCCATTATGTTTTCATTCACGTTAGTTATACGCACTGTATTTTCTGTGTACGACAGTACAGTACACATAGAAGAGAGGAGCTTACGACGACGTTTCGGTCCGACTTGGACCATTTACAAAGTCACACGGTACAGTACGGTACTTTTTTCATGGTAGATATTGTAGTACCTCGTGAGTAGGAAAGTGGTGGTGGCACTGTATGGATATGGGAAGTGATGGGGTTAGTGGAGGCCATGTAAAAAGTATATATTTGATGAATTCAGTTTTACAACTAGGCCAGGCTCGTCTGTTGCTGGTGATATGATAGGTATTAGGTTTGTCAGGAAACAGGACAAATATGATGGTGTAGTGTCTGTGTGTATGAAGGAGAGGGGATATTGGGAATTTCGACAATGTTGGTTAATTTTACGGATTACGTTCCCAGATAAGATAAGATAAGATTTCGTTCGGATTTTTAACCCCGGAGGGTTAGCCACCCAGGATAACCCAAGAAAGTCAGTGCGTCATCGAGGACTGTCTAACTTATTTCCATTGGGGTCCTTAATCTTGTCCCCCAGGATGCGACCCACACCAGTCGACTAACACCCAGGTACCTATTTGCTGCTAGGTGAACAGGACAACAGGTGTAAGGAAACACGTCGAAATGTCTCCACCCGCCGGGAATCGAACCCGGGCCCTCCGTGTGTGAAGCGGGAGCTTTAGCCACCAGGCCACCTACCAGGCATCAAAGGCATCAAAGACTTTTCACTCTTAGTGATGGAGCCAGTCAGGCGTTTATGAGTCGACCCATTCCTTGTCTCTAAAGTAACTATTTCATTAAATGAGATGCCTACTTCACTAAATACGTATCAAAGAGGGATGAAGGAGTTTGAGTGGTGGTGATAGTGTGTATGTAGGTGATCAAGTTGGGCCGGAAATTGTGGGTAGTGAAAATAGGTTGCGGCGAGGTGGGTCAGTGGTGTGCGTGTGATCAGAAAGACTTGGTCCACACTCACCTGCATGACTATTGATCCCATGACCCCTTCCCCTACTACTCAACCCATCTCTTCTACCCCTTCTCCTCCTGGTCTCCATGTCCTCTTCCACTTCCTTTTTTTGTACTCTTCCTCTTCTCTCCTTGTTCCCTTTCCCCCCTCTATTTTATAGTTTAATCTTTCATCGTATGCGTTGTACTTCAGATCTACAGACTAAGAAACAGGGAGAATAGTAAAGGGAGATGGAGTATGACTGTGATTGACAACACAACATTAAGGTTGCTTCTTGTTCATATATTTCTTTGCATGGTAATAATGTGAAGATCCAAGATGATTTTGAAAAAAAAAATTAATTGGCTTAGCGTAAAAACAAAAAAGGTTAAAAGGATTCAGACTTGATAAAGCCTACTTAGGAGGCGAAATGTCGACTTAATATTAAGTTTTCAATTGCAGCGTTAGTGTCATCAGCTATAACTTGTCGGCATTCCCATACCATCTTCTATTTCATAAAATAAATATTTAAAAGATGATAGGAAAAATAAAGAAAACCGAGAATAATGAGACAAGATATCCATGATACTGCAGGAGGACAATGATATGCGAGTTAGCGTGAAACAAAATTATTTAAAGAGTGAGGTAAAAGAAATTTGTGAAGAGCTTATTTCTTGGGTGGCATTGAAAATTGGTTGGACAAATGTTTTGTTAGTGGGATGGATTGTAAAGGACCTGTCTAGTATGAAGATTGAGACACCTATGCAGCATATGAGAATCTTTATTCAGGAAACGTTTCGCCACACAGTGGCTTCATCAGTCCAATACAAAGAGGAAGGCGTAAGGAGAGGAGTATGAGGTAATCAGTCCCTCAGCCTGGAGTCGATGTGTTCAGTCCATCAATCTTGTAGAATGTTCTACAAGATTGATGGACTGAACACATCGACTCCAGGCTGAGGGACTGATTACCTCATACTCCTCCTCTCCTTACGCCTTCCTCTTTGTGAAAGTTAAGACACATGTGCAACATCTGGATATCTTTATTGTAGACGTTTCGCCATCCAGTGGCTTTATCAATACAGATTCTAGGACATAATAGGAAGACAGTAGAACTATATACAAAAGATGAGGTAATCAGTCCCTCGGCCTTGGAGTTAGTGTTCACAGCATCTGTGAACACTAACTCCAAGGCCGAGGGACTGATTACCTCATCTTTTGTATATAGTTCTACTGTCTTCCTATTATGTCCTAGAATCTGTATTGATAAAGCCACTGGATGGCGAAACGTCTACAATAAAGATATCCAGATGTTGCACATGTGTCTTAACTTTCATATTGTCGGTATTTTATACCTTTCTTACACTTCCTCTTTGTATTGGACTGATGAAGCCACTGTGTGGCGAAACGTTTCCTGAATAAAGATTCTCATATGCTGTATAGGTGTCTCAATCTTCAGCTTGTCGGTTTTTCAAACCATTCATCACAACTGTCTAGTATGGGCCAGCAGGCCTGCTGCAGTGTTCCTCCTTTCTTATGTTCTTAAAATGGATTCGAAGGTACTTGAAATCATAATCCCCAGGGAAGATACCTGTAATATACGAATATTCACGAGAGGAGTGCAAGATCTGAACTTGGTTGTGTAAAGTGAGATAACATAGTGAAGTCATCCCATACTGCATAGACTGGTGTTCCCGTGAAGATATCCAATCCAACACAGTATAAATGATCACAACACACCGCCATCAACTATACTGTTTTTAAATGTGGCGTAACCAACACGTGGTAAAAACACAAAACAAAAGACCTTTATTAGTATGACGGTTCACCAACATAAAGTACGTGATAAAGCTTCATGTAGGTGAAAGTGTACTATTAAAGGCATTTTGCTGTCTTCTAACTATATCAGAACCAGCTCTCACCCTTCCTTGGTATATACCTTCACAAACCTGACCAGCCGGGATGTGGTTCGTACGTCGGTTTGCGTGCGGCCAGCAGTAACAGCCTGGTTGATCAGGCCCAGATCCCCTGAGAGACCTGGTCATGGACCGGGCCGAGGGGGACGTTGACCCCCCGTAACGCCCTCCAGGTATACCTCACCTGTCAGGATGCTTGCATGCTGTATAAGGCGGTAATTTTTTAATGTGTATTTGATAAAAGTCCTGCTGGACGAAGCATCTTATGATAAAGGAACCCTCCCCCATCTCTTGCCAATTACGCCACAACAGCAAAACGCCACCACGCCAAAACTACGTCTCTACACCCACATCATAACAATTACCGGTACAGTACTACCACCAACAACTCAACATTCAACATCATATTTGTACACCAAAGCAGCAATAATACCATAAAACACGAACATGTAACCATCCACATCTTCACAAAAAAAAAAAAAACATAAATTGACACACCCTATCCATTATACCACTACCACCACAACACCTCACAAAGGCACATCATATGGCAACGTAAACTCATCGTAGAGTATGAGGCGCTAACATGGAACCTGCACCTGATCAAACATGTATATAAACTGAAGAAACTCCCATTGGTTGACGATGAGATTGTGGCACCGGAATTTAAATGATAAACAACAATGAGAGGTTTAATTAAAGAATATAACCACACTAGAAGAGAAAGATGAGGGCAGGAGTGTGAAATATAAAAGATTATATTGAGTGAATCAAGATATTGTTTAGATACGCGAAGATGGGAACCCGGGACAGACGGCAGCAAAAGATCTCGATGAGCAACACAGGGATGTTAAGATGTATTTTCTCAGTTTTGGGGTAGTAAGAGAGCAGACAAGAAGTCTAGCATACAGGTAAATACAGTCTACAAAAAATATCATGTACCATATTTCATTATTCAAAGCTACTCCTTTAGAGCACGCAATTGAAACTCTCCTCCCCTTTGTATCAACCTGATTACCCCTCATTCATCAGGCGCTTTTATGACCCGTATACCTACAAGTGCAGAGCTTTTCAGTGAATGTAATGATAATTCAACACTACCTTTAATCCTTAACCTTTGTTACTGCTGCTACTTCCTCAGCGTTTTCACAAGTCTTACTTCAGTGTCGCGTTTACAGTATGTAAACAAAGATGTTTTGGCGTAAGTTAAAGCAGGAGTTAAGCTGCATCCAGGTAGCAGGGAGGCTGGTTTAGGTGGAGAGTTGTAGTATCCAAATGAAGTACTGCCGACAGTAGCGAAAAGAAGACACGTGTTGAAGAACACTTAATTGGGACGGTGGTTCACTCTGTGTAGAGCATTGTCAAATCATTATTTATACGTTCACCGTAGCCAATGACTGCTAAATATCTACAGAACGTGTTCTGCAGCGTGCCCTTTCTTCACTGGGAAGTTGTAGTTGGTGTGTGTGGATGTGTAGTACACTGAGAAGAGTTGTGGGAGCGAGAGGCAGAAGAGTCCAGGCAACACTGTTAGCTCGTCCCTAGGTCAGTATTGTGGTAAGCTGCTTTCATAACCCTCACCCCAGCGACCTGCGCTCTGCTGTCTCCGTCTGTATCTGTTGTATAAACCAGGGTGTACCTCCATGACTGTCATCCCTGAACTCCACTTTCCTTCCGTGTCTGGATTCATGTGTGTGTGTGTGTGATTACCTGCTGGTAATTTCCAATTTGTAGCTACAGGAACAGAACAGTACTCGATTATAGCACATGCTACATCCTCTTGTAATTAATTCCATTGATCTACCACTCTGTGAAGACTTTCTTAGTATCCTTTTGGCTCCCCTGATTTCTCAGTTTACTGGTGTGGCCTGTTACTATCGCTGTTGCAGGTATGAAAAAATCGTCTTTATATAATCTTTCATGCCTTTTTATGATCTTATATGCGATTATCACGTCTCCTTTCTTTCTCTTGTCGGCCATCGTGGGCATCTTTAATGCTTTCAGCCTTTAATCATAACTCATCTATTTTACTCTTGTAACCATTTTGTAACTCTTCGATGGAATTTTTCTAAATTATCCACTTTTTTTTTAAGGTGTGGGCACCATACCAACGCTGCATATTAAATTTTTGGCCTATTATAAACATTTTTTTTTAACATTTCACCATTCATATATTTAAAAGTTTCTCACATTTTCGTTTATATGATCTTCTGGTCACTTTGTATTAACTCATAGGACCCTTTTTCTGACACTTTCAATATTTTATCAGTCAGTATTTTTCATGTAGCTTAATGTCACGCTCTCCCATTTCTTTTGGAAATAAATGATATAAAATACCGACAAAATGGAAATATAAACACACATACTGCATGTGTTTATATTCCCATTTCTGTTACATGATATAATAATATTATATATATATTTTATATATATATATAATAATATAATATATATATATATATATATATATATATATTACATTTAATTCCATCACCTGTCTATTACTCCATTTTATCCAAGGCATCCTAAAGAGGTTTGCAGTCGTTTTTATCATTTATTGAATTCAGTATTTTTTTGCATCATCTACGAACATATTCATATGAACATAATTCATGTGAACATAATTCATACGAACATAATTCATATGAATTATTGAGGCAAGTACATATCCTTGTGGCACCCCACCCCACATTTTACTCTCATATAACTGTTCGCATTTTTCTCTCAAAGTGTCGCGTCCATTTTAATAATTTATCCTTTATTCCAACTAGGTTTGAAGGTTTCAGAATAATCTCTCCTTGGGAACTCATGTCAAAAGCTCTCGTAAAATCAAGATAAATACAATCTGCTCATCCATTTTGTTCCTAAAAAACATTGTGATTCATAATAGCTTAATGGATTTGTTATACAGCTAACACTTTCCAGACCGAAAGCCGAATTGTTTGTTCGTCAGCAGGTTTGTTCAGTCAGCAGGTTGAAAAACCTGCTGACTGATGGCTTTTTCCAATATTTTTACTATAATATGTACTTGCTATCTTCTACTTGGTAGTCAATTTTCCTTCCTGAAGTGAAATTATACAAATTTTTCCAAAGGGGATAGCTCGGTTCTGCACATTCTATGCAAATCCATGGCGATATCTGGTCTTTGTGTGTGTGTGTGTGTGTGTGTGTGTGTGTGTGTGTGTGTGTGTGTGTGTGTGTGTGTGTGTGTGCGTGCGTGTGCGTGCGTGTGCGCGCGCAGGGCTAACCTAGAAGTTTGTCTTTCCTGATCCTATATCTTTTCTGTGATGCCTCTCGGTATCTTTCTTTCCCGGTTACTGGACCGTCTACTGCAGTGTGCCTATTATTATGTAATTGTAGCTGTCAGGTGAATACTGGTGACGGGGGAGAATGTTCACACACCGCACGCAGTGCTCAATGACCCATGTTTTTTTTTTTTTTTTTTTTTTTTTTTTTTTTTTGTGTGTGTTGTGTGTTGTTGTGTGTGTGTGTGTGTGTGTGTGTGTGTGTGTGTGTGTGTGTGTGTGTGGGTGTGTGAACAGTAATCTGCCCGTTTTTCTTGTTCTTCAAGGCAGCTGGTGAGAGTGGTGGTCAGGTAAATATTTGTACATGGTCCATGAATGTACTTTGTTCTCTGGGTAGTATTGGTTACAAGTGACTTATAACTCAGCGTCAAGCCCATGGACAGTCACGGAAAATGTCTTCTAACGCGTGCCTTTTTCAAATGATGACCCGCTCAGTGATTAAGCAACCCCAGGCGTGTTGGTGCTGGCTATCAGTGATTAAGCAACCACTGGCGTGCTGGTGCTGTATATTAATGATAAGGCAACCACTGGCTTGCCTGTGTTAGGGTTGAGCTAATTTAAAAACTATGGATAAGTTTTATAGTATTAAACAACGAAGTGGAAATTATATTTCCTTTTTTTTTTGTTTACCAGGGTAGGTTCGGCATTCCTGCTCTCAATAAAGGAATGAAATATAGTTACAGAAATTAAAAAAATGGAGTAGGTAAATTATGTTATTTTACATACGTAAACCACAGTAAAGTTAGATTACTTTGTTAGTCTTGGCGATATCAGATATTTGCATAACTATGTTTCCTGTATTCCTTGAGAATGGGGGCGAAACTCCAGATTTATTTTTATTTAATTGCGATTTGCTCACTGAGGTCATTAACATGAGAATGTAATTTATAGCAAAACTATTGATTTAAAGTGAGTATATCTACTTGGAAAGTGATAGTCACCGAAGAAACAACAAATACTATCTATATAGATAAACTCAAGAGATATACGTATGTACATGTATAAAGGTGTCTTCCACACCTTTCCCTTGGCTCACACTACTGCCAAGAATAAGGTGACAGATCAATATTCGTGTATCCTATATACCGCTTCCATCCACCAACCCTTCAAGGAAATGGGGGGCGGGGCTGATGCTGGTGAAGGGCTCCTGATCCAAGGAAGTGGGGTTATCTTCTTTTTCCTAGATCAAACATGATTACTTTACATTTCCCAGGCGCTGTATGGCTCCACCAGGTTTAGCGCTTCCAGTGAATAAAATATAATTATTTCATTAAGTGAATTTCCGAACATTTTGTATTTGTGCTTATGTTATTGTTGCGAAAGTGAATTGCTTAAATACGAAATTAATTTGACCATCTTTAATAAATGTACACACTGAATCGATTATTTGAGTCGAGACATACTCCCTGGCCTCGTATCCTTGGCTCTGACTTGTCAAGTGTTAATAGTGATTTACAGTCTTCCTAAATACAGTAGAGTTTATTACTTACGTTTGAGTAATTTATGAATTTGATGAGGGGAGAGAAAATTATAGTTTATTATTATTATTATTTATTATTATTATTTTTACTATTATTATTTATTTATTATTACACTGGCCGATTCCCACCAAGGCAGGGTGGCCAGAAAAAGAAAAACTTTCACCATCATTCACTCCATCACTGTCTTGCCAGAAGGGTGCTTTACACTACAGTTTTTAAACTGCAACATTAACACCCCTCCTTCAGAGTGCAGGCACTGTACTTCCCATCTCCAGGACTCAAGTCCGGCCTGCCGGTTTCCCTGAACCCCTTCATAAATGTTACTTTGCTCACACTCCAACAGCACGTCAAGTATTAAAAACCATTTGTCTCCATTCACTCCTATCAAACACGCTCACGCATGCCTGCTGGAAGTCCAAGCCCCTCGCACACAAAACCTCCTTTACCCCCTCCCTCCAACCTTTCCTAGGCCGACCCCTACCCCGCCTTCCTTCCACTACAGACTGATACACTCTTGAAGTTATTCTGTTTCGCTCCATTCTCTCCACATGTCCGAACCACCTCAACAACCCTTCCTCAGCCCTCTGGACAACAGTTTTGGTAATCCCGCACCTCCTCCTAACTTCCAAACTACGAATTCTCTGCATTATATTCACACCACACATTGCTCTCAGACATGACATCTCCACTGCCTCCAGCCTTCTCCTCGCTGCAACATTCATCACCCATGCTTCACACCCATATAAGAGCGTTGGTAAAACTATACTCTCATACATTCCCCTCTTTGCCTCCAAGGACAAAGTTCTTTGTCTCCACAGACTCCTAAGTGCACCACTCACCCTTTTCCCCTCATCAATTCTGTGATTCACCTCATCTTTCATAGACCCATCCGCTGATACGTCCACTCCCAAATATCTGAACACATTCACCTCCTCCATACTCTCTCCCTCCAATCTGATATCCAATCTTTCATCACCTAATCTTTTTGTTATCCTCATAACCTTACTTTTTCCTGTATTCACTTTCAATTTTCTTCTTTTGCACACCCTACCAAATTCATCCACCAATCTCTGCAACTTCTCTTCAGAATCTCCCAAGAGCAGACAGCAGACAGTAAACGGATGGGGTTGTAGGCGCCCTTATAAACACAAACATTAAATATATATCAGGAACGTGCACGGTAAGCTGTCCAATATACAAAAACAGTTAGAAACAGAAATACAAATAGCTAGAGCTTCATTTAAGGAGGTTATTAATAGAATATTCAAGAGGTTGCTAGTAGAAATGAGTAAATCAACCATTCAAATCATTATGAAACTGTGTGTAGTCTGTGGTCAGTCAAACAAACGGGCTTCCACATGGATAAATTGTCATTGTGGAAATTGGTGTCACGCCCCTTGTGCAGATATCCAAGAACTAGCTACAAGCAGTATTAAAACAGGGAAATGTTTTTGGGTATGCCCAAATGAGATAAATCTGTGGACTAAAATCACAAGGGTATTAAAAGAGGACAACATCAAAGCTGCTTTCATAGAAAACCTGGAAGCTTTCTACAACAGATGGGAACATAAAAAGTCTGGGCTGAATGGTACTGCCCTTGATACTGGCCATGTAGTCAGAAACTGTAAGGCTAGAGATGAAGTCCTGGTAGTCAGTAAATGTGGGGCTGATAGTGCTGTCCTGGGAGACAGTAATGGTGAAGCTGGAGGTGCTGTCCTGGGAGACAGTAATGGTGAAGCTGGAGGTGCTGTCC